CGGGAAAATGTGTGACTGTATTGACCGACAATATGACGGCCCTCAGTTACGTCAACAGACAGGGTGGAACAGTCTCCCGCAGTCTCTGCCTCCTGGCTCTAGACCTTTGGGCCTGGTGCATACAGCTGCACATCTTTCCCATTGCCTCACACATCGCTGGCAAGGCCAATGTGCATGCGGACCTGCTCAGCAGGGGTCTCTCTCAGCAACATGACTGGGAGCTGAACTGGACCTACCTACGTCCCGTGTTTCAAAAGTGGGGTATGCCTCACGTCGACGTCTTTGCCACCAGGTGCAATTCGAAGTGCAACCTGTTTTGCTGCAGGGGAGCACAAGATCCCAAGGCCTTGAGAGACGGGCTCCTTTACCCATGGGACAACAACTTCCTGTATATGTTCCCCCCTCTGCCGCTGCTGCTGAGGACAGTCCAAAGGCTTATGAGGGTCCACACGAGGTGCATCGTGATTGCCTCCTAATGGCTGAGGCAACCTTGGTTCGCCAACCTCCTCCCACTGACCAAGGCTCGCCATCCTCTCCCACAAGTGCCAGAACTGCTCCTAGCAGAGGGAGGAGCTCTGCTGTTCCATGAGGTACACAAGCTCAAGCTAACAGCTTATCTCGTGGACAATTAACATTCTCGGATAGAATCACCACTGTGCTACTCAATGCCAGGAAGGATTCTACGAGACGTTCCTACAGGGGAAAGTGGGCTCATTTCTTAGCTTCTGTACAGCCCTCGGATGTGCCCCCGGCTTCTGTCAGGATTGACCAGGTCTTAGAATTTCTGCTTTCACTGGCAGAGAAGGACCTCTTGCACTCCTCAATCAGGGTGTATTTGTCGGCTATTTCTGCCTACCATCCGAGCTTCAACGGTTTCTCCGTTTTTTCCATTCATCTGTACCCTTGTGGGACTTGCTGATGGTACTACACCATCTGATGGGACAGCCCTTTGAGCCTATGGCAACTTGCAAGCTAAAGCATGCAGCATGGAAAACTGCCTTTTCTCGTTGCCATTACCTCAGCCAGGAGGGTGGGTGAACTCATGGCCCTCCGTCATGACCCACCCTTCCTTACCTTCCCTACCAGACAGTGTGAGACTGGTGCCCGACTTCTCGTTCCTGCCTAAAGTGGTCTCCGAGTTCCACCTCAGCTCAGAGATCTTCTTGCCGAACTTCTTTCCTAGCCCGAAAGATGGCCAACAACGTCTCCTCCATGCACTAGATGTTAGGAGGGCACTACTTTTTTACCTGGACAAGACACGTTCAAGTAGGAGGGACAATCACCTTTTTGTCTCCTACTCCAGTCACTCCACAGGACAAAAAATTTCGGCACAACGTCTCTCCAAATGGATTGTTGAGACTATTAAACTGTGCTGCCAGTTGGCTAAACGCCCATTGCCCTTGCCTGTGTGAGCGCACTCCACAAGATCCATGGCTATGTCTACAGCATTCTTGAAGGGTGCTTCCCTGTCGGCGATCTGTGGGGCTGTGACATTGTCTACTCCAAACACCTTCATCAAGCACTACGCTGTTGATGTTCATGAACGCCACAGAGTGGACTTTGGTCGCTTAGTCCTTTCGTCGGCAGAGCATTGAATTTGCAACAGCTCCCACCTTCAGGTGAGCCACTGCTTTTCAATCTCCCATAGGTGTGATGCACAGAGACCATGAAGAAGATAAACAGGTTGCTTACCTGTAACTGATGATCTTCGAGTGGTCATCTGTGCAGTCACACCACCCGTCCTTCCCCACTGCTGTCGCTTCAGTACTTTCTGGTTATTGACATGACAGCGGTCAGAAGGAACTGATGGGATGTCCGCGCCCCACCTCGGGCATGTGCAGTGGGGTTCCCGCACATGCCTGGGAGGGAGGCGCGAAAATTCCTTTGTGAGCTTTGCACACCACCGATTTGGATCAGCGCAGGCGTATAATCCCATAGGTGTGACTGCACAGATGACCACTCGAAGATCATCAGTTACAGGTAAGCAACCTGGGGTTTTTTGTCTGCCTCAGTAAAAGAGCAGACAGTTGGAAGGGTAGCTTTGCCTGGAAGCACAGCAGACTGGTTTAGCTTTTCCTGTGGGAGAAGAAAGAGTATCCGGTTGTGAGGCCTGTCTCTTGTAATGAGCAGAACTTGTACCATTTAGTCTAATTCTGGGGGAAAGGGCAGGCTGGTATGAGTAGTAGCCAGGCTTCTCTGTTGACCACCTGCTGTTAATCTGTTCATTAAAACCAACCTAAAAAAAACCCAACCTGATAATAAATAAATAAATCTTTGTTATTGACATATAACTCCTTCCTCACTGATCTGCATGTACTGCTTGCTCACCACAAAACGACAGCAAACCCAAAGACTTTACGCTTGCTGTCCTAAGAATATCTTGTAACTGAGGGGAAGGTTTACTATTTAAAACCTGGTTCCCCACAATCACAAGAGGCTGTGTGGATCCCCTAAGCTGGTAGAAAAGGCCAGTCCCAAGTAGTTCCATCCGACTTGGGCAGAGCAATCCTGTGTTGTGCCTGTGCTGCAGCGGCCAGCCACAGTGCAGCTGCAGCATCGCTAGGCGCCTCCTTAAGGCGATAGTTATGTGGCAGCCAAATGGGGAAAAAGTTGCACCATCAGTGTTTCAGGCGCTGACACGGTGGTGTCCGTGGCGATCCCACTGCAGCGTTCCATTCTAGCGTTGTTGCAAGGTGGGGAAGTGTGAAAGATAGGGCAGGCAGGACCAATGGGAATCATGAGTCGAGGAGGGTGAGCCAAGCGTCTGAACTCTGGCAGGGGGCGGAGAGGTGTGGGCCATAGGAGCAATACTCCTCTGCCACACACACACACACACCCTTAAGGAGAGCAGCTCCCATTACAAGTCCCAGCCACCTGTCACTGGGGAGGGGGGATCATCATCAGCACCACGGGCATCCTACGCTGGTGCTCCACACACAGAGTGCACAGTGCCCTAGAGGGTGATAACAGACAAGAACGTGGATATGAGGGTGCCCCCATTCACCGACATCTGTGGTGTCCAGCAGGGTACCCACACCGTTGAGAGCATCCCCGTGCTGTGTGCCAGCCCCACTGTAGGCATGGGGGGGGCAGAGAGACTCAAACAGGTACTCCAGCAGCCTCTCGATGTGCCCTGTCCCTCACCCATGACCCTTGCTACAGTAAGAAGCCCCTCCAGGTGCCTGGCAGCCACCATTATAGATGCTGCCAACCCCTCCATACAGTTACGCTGGCATAAGGGTCAATTGCACCCCCTTAGGATTTGCTCTGTTATTCACCCTAGTTGGCAGATAATCCAGAATCAGGTGAGGAGCATATAAAACTTCAGGGAGACAGCATTTTGCCTAGAGGTTGCCATAACAGTTAAGATTATATTTCAGCAGAAGGATACGTGTTATATATTTTGCTTTATTACACACCAGAGCCAGAAACTGGTATAAATAATCATATATCTAGATAGTACTGCAGTAAACCTATGTGATCTCTTTTATCTCGTCAGTCCAAAGAAAAGAATATCAAGAAAATTAACCAAATAATGCCCTTGTGGTTTTACTTTCCAGTCTATTTTGTGAAAAATACCATTATTTTGATTTTATATATTTCTGTATTGGGATGGTCAGAACAATTACACACAGCTCAGAATAGATAACTGGGTTGAAACTTGTGGATTATTTAGTTTTATTTATTTATTTATAGTCAAATTTATACCGCGCCCTCCCCACAAAGCAGGCTCAGGGCGGCTTCCAGCAACAAACACAACAGTACAGAATAAAAACATAAATAATACAGAATTAAAACACACCATTTAAATTAGAACATTACAAAATATCAGAATACTGGCGGCAGTTAAAAATCAAACAAATAAAGTGCTTTCCAACAAAGTGCTTCAATGTTAATCCACATAAAGTGTTTAGATGTTATTCTGCTCATTTTTAAGGCAGCTGCTCGATGTTAACATTACGGGCTGTGCACTAGTGCGGCGGCCCCTAATTGTATGCCTGGCAGAAGAGCTCCGTCTTACAGGCCCTGCGGAACTGTGAGACGTCCCGCAGGGCCTTGATCTCCTCTGGGAGCTCGTTCCACCAGGTAGGGGCAACCACCAAAAAGGCCCCAGCCCTAGTAACAGCTAGCCTGGCCTCCCTCGGGCCAGGGAGGGTCAACCGTAGTGCTCTCTGGGGTATATATACAGGGAAAGGCGGGCCCGTAGGTATGTTGGACCCCGGCCATATAGGGCTTTAAAGGTAAGAACCAGCACTTTGAAGTGGATTCGGTATGCTATTAGTGGCTGGGATTATAAAAGTAATGTTTGGGGGAAGGGGCAGGCCCTGTCTGTATTAATGAAGGTCAAATCAAATCTATTTTTGCTAAAACAAATCCTCTGGTTAAGGAAACACTTTCCAATTTTTTTATTTTAAAAATTAATTAAAAAATAGAAATTAAATTAATGCTTGGTTATAGAGCAATGTCCGTGAAATCATCTGTACACAGCCCACCTGGAATTAGAAATGGGTGGGCAGAAGGAGATGAGGAACCAGCGAGGGCTGTAGCCAGGAGGCAGAAAGGGAACGAAGGCAAGAAGAGGAAGGGACAGACAGGCAAAGAGAAAGAGAAGAGGCTAAGAAAGGTAGAGAAGGGGAAGGGGACTGAGTGGAGAGCAAGGGAAACGGCCGGCTGGAAGCCACTTCTTCCAGGCCAGATTACCTGAGGAGTGGTGTGGCACCATCTAGTTCTTCTATTATGTTTTAATAGAAACTATATTTTACATATTTAATGTGCACACGCACACACAAGTGTTAAGTGTTCATAAATAACACTTCATCGTTCCAGTTACATTGCTTGAATTTTCTAGCCTTAGTTCTTAGCAGGTCCTGCACAAGGAAAATAACAGAATCTGTTTGCATTTGGCATGTTTAGAGGCTGCATCTTATGGTGTTTTGGTTTGTTGCCAACTTTTTATTTGTTCTGTAATCAAAGCATATCTAACAATAGACTTGTTTTAGATCATCCAGGCTTAGAAAATGTGGTACAGATTGAAAAATTTCAAGAAAAAGCATATAAGGAGTTTCAAGATTATGTAACAATAGTATATCCAGATGATACCTACAGGTATGTAACCTCTCTATATATATGTCTTGACTTTATAAATGTGTTATTGTTTTCTCAGAGTCATGTAACTTCTGAAAATTCGGCATGCATTTTTTTTTTGTAGTGTGGAAAATATTTTCTTTAGTGTATAATCTCTGGAGAAGGATAATGGCACTTTTGTACACTTGGTGCCACGTTCCAAGTCATGCCTTTTACTTACAATGGATAATCCTAAAGTAGCAGAATCATTCCTACTGCATGTAGTCAGGTTGCAGTCAATAGGACTGTACACAGAAATGAAATAAATGGCCTGACTCTATATAAGCCATTGTTCTTCTGATGTGAAAATTTCAAGCACTAAGTGCCTGGCACCCATTGGCATGACAGCACAAATGGTACCTTTGCACATATTGATGGGCTGGGGGCCTGTTAAAATGTTTCATACCACAAAGGTCAAACCAGTAAGAAGTGCTCTTACTGCACAGAAAAGATAGGTTTGATCCAGGCCATACTGCATTTGTGAACACCGTATCTCCCTGTTGCTGTGATAGAATAGCCCAGTTCTCTTACTGAGAGAGGGAGATACAATGTTTAAATCACACAGTACAGCTTAGATCAGACATTATTTTGTTGCTTTGATTCCCTGTTCATAATGCCAGCATCCTTACTTGGATTAGTTTTCTCTATGCCAAACAACGAGGAATTTCACATTACCCCTTTTAAGCCGGTTTGAAGCCGTTTTTGATCCGTCGTGGAGTAAATAGGGCTGCCATTTCACACATGGCTTTCCTCTACACCCGGTAAACAGCTGGATCTGAAGCGGTTTGCCATTTCAGACTGCACTGCTTTTTCCTGCCGTTTTTCGCCTGCGTGGGCGATCTCCAGCTTTTTTTTTTTTTTTGAGAATGTTCACTTTAGAGCGCTATAACGCTATAACACAACACTCCAGGCATTCCAATAGGGTTGCTATAATGCTGTTTTGCTGTTGTGTCATAGCGCTCTAAAGCGAACGTTAAAAAAAAAAAGCCGGAGATCGCCAGCGCAGGCGAAAAACGGCGGGAAAAAGCGTTCCGGATCTGGGAGAAGAAACTGAAGACTACTTGGAAATGGTTTACAGGTAAAATGGTTCAGCCCCGTTTCCTGAACGGGACAGAAGCGTTTGTGTGTGAAAGTACAAATATATTCCGGTAGGGAACCGGTTCTAAAACGGTTCTGTCTGAAATGTCAGACCAGAAACTGTTTGGGAACCGTTCCTGAACCGGAATATATCGCCTGTCTGAAATTCCTCAACATCTAAACAGGCACCAAACCGTAACTCTCCTGCTAATATGGGCATGCTTTAACTTCTGCCATAGTACAAAAGGGCAATTGCTTTAGCATGGTAGAAAGGGAGTGGATTTCCTTTATCTCCCAAGCATATGATCCTATCTCTATTATGCTGTGCTTATAAACGTCTCAGTATGTTTGACTGCCCGCTGTTGGAAACAATGCTAAACCTGTAGAAGGCTCTTTGGCCTGATCCAGCAAATAATTCTTGTATTTTTATGCTCATGTGGCATCTGGCCCATATAAGTTGCAAATGCTGGTGCAGATATATGCTAGCCATATGTAACAGTAACAACGAATGTGGTTTCTAGAAAGCTGTGCAGAGTTGCTTGTCTTTGGCCCTTCCTGCCCAGAACACCAGCTGCTGAAGCCTGTCTGTAGGATTTGTATATCAATAAATCTTGGCTGAACTCTACAGCATATTATAACATTTCATGTACAACATCTGAAAAATTTTACTTGATTGGCTCACCAAATGTATCCTCACTTTACAATAACAACAAATCTAAATACACAAAAAAAGCCTATTAACATTTCACAGCCAAAGATGTGAATAATAGTTTAACACTTAGTAATTTATAGCTGAGAAACATTTTACTTTTGAGGGTTTTTTTACTAATTAAATACCAATAAATAATCAGAGAGGTTTATTTTGCATGTAAAATTGTGCCGTTCTTTTGTCAAATCTGTCTTCCAGACTGTCTCGGTTACTTCTCAGATTGCCTGCCTTGAGACTGATGAGTGCTGCTATCACAGAAGAATTGTTTTTCGCAGGACTTATTGGAAATGTTCAAATAGACAGCATCATACCATATATTCTAAGAATGGAGACTGCAGATTACAACTCCCAAATAATTGGTCATGCTGTATAAATGTTGAACCACGGATTCTATACCATGGCAATCATGGTGATGTAAATGTACACTTATCTCCAAGAGATAACAAGAAGCTTTCCTGTGCAGTTATTAGAAGGAAAATAAAAGAAGGTGCAACTTTCTCTCTTCCTGTACATTTGAGAAACACAGCAGAATAGTTTGCGGTGATACAGGATGACTTGCTTTTTATCTGGTTTTCAAGAACTTGTAGATTACTTAGAATCTAACGAAAATCAAGAATAGTTCATCCTATTTTTGTAGTTTAGCTGTATCTGGAACACTGACAGTAACAACACCAGACAAATGTACGAAACTTAGTCTTTGGTAGGTGAGTCACTTCACCAAGACATTTCAGCTTGATGTTTTAGAAAAAAAATAAATTAACTTTCCTCCCAATGTTTGTTTTCACTATCTTGTTTCTGCAAATTCACTTTTGACAGTTTTGATGCAAGTCTGAAATCCTGAGGAAGCCAACGTATTTTCTCATGTGACAGCGTAAGAATTTTTGGCTATCTTTCAGCTACTTTGAGCAGAACAACTTGAGCTGGACACTTTTTAAAGTGTTAGAGGGAAATCACAGGAGGGCTGTGAAATTGGCTTGACATTGTTAGCCCCCAAAGTAATTCCTATATTATTTGGGTTAATCTTGGAAACCAGCAGCTGTCATATTCAGTTATCTGATGATCTTATGATTTAGAAAGTGTTACAGATCCTTTAATGGCATCAAGTTTTTATTGTGTGCTATTATCTAAGTTCTGCTATATACTATATAGTTTATCAGTGCCAATTCTGTTCATTTTAGTCAGATGCCCCTACACCCAATTAAGAATCAAATTGACTACTGTTGGAGGTTCCCTTTAACCCAGGTGTTTGAGCTATCACATGCCAATATACCACCATTACTGAATCTCCTCTATCAGTTTTGACCCATCTACAGGGTGTAAATAAGTTCTCAACCAATGCAGTTCTTATAAGAAGAGGGAGGAATGGTCAGAATTTTTCAGGAGTGCTATTTAAAATAATAAACCAATGAATAAACCAATTATGGAATTTATGTGAATTCTGTTTTCCTGAACAGTAATGATCACAGAATCCTCATTACAAATTTTTTGTTTGTTGCTGAACACCTTCAGATTTTGAAGTTTTCCCCCAAAGCACTTTTGATTATTAAAAGTTGTTTTTAATTACCATATAATAGTTAACCAAGCTCCAACATGAAATGTTAATTTACTGTTATCGAGGATTGCCCATGTAGTTTTTTTATAACTTTCCTTGTTTGACATTTGATGATACTAACACAACTGCCTCTAATTGATACTTATTACCAGCCTGTGAAAAGGGTGTTTTGGTAATTTGAAAGACAGGAATATTTGCATCAGGTTTTTCTAAACAGATTGAATAGAAAACAGTAGTCTTACATATTTTATTGCATCCCCTAACAACAATGAAGTGAAGAGTTGCATTTCCCCCCAAAATATATGTGTGTATCTGTGCAACAATATACACACATAGAGCTGTATTATATTTTCTTTAATATATATTACCAGGTATTTCTTGTAGCTACAATTTGAGCTGTTTTAAATCCTTCTAAACTGTTTACTGCATTGTACATTCCTCTAATGGGCTCAATATATTTGTTATTTTTATTTCCACTCTGGTGTCCCTGGAAATCAATTGCTTCTTCATTCCATTCCACTTTTTGTATAAATTTTATTTGTGGTTCAGTTGTAGCATAAGCATTGGGAACGTCCCAATGACTGTCTTGCCATTGTATAAAAATTACTGTAAATGTCTTGAAATCAAAAGAAGTGTAAATTCTATTTTGGCTGTATTTTTTAAAATAAATTGTAACTTTTTATTATAGAATGCAGTTATATTAATCCATTTAAAAACCTTTCATGTGATCCTGTACATACAAAGACTTGGAACTGTTTATAATTCAGATTTTAATATAGAATGAATGATAATATTTTGGATCAGATGCATTCACTTTGCTACTTCAGCTTTCTAACTATGCGATATTATTAACCATTTAATTTTGTCATTTTATGTCTGCATGCAATTACATATATATTCAAATTTAAAAAATAAATTAAACTTGGTATCCTGCTCTGAAAAGAATCAGATAAATTGCTACATTTAATGTAGCAGAATACATTCCATTGTTTACTGTACCAACATATATCATATTATACATGAAATCCAAATACAACTTATGATTAAAAAAATTCATTTTAATGAGACTCTCCCAAAGGTCAATAGAGGCTCAGCAATGTTTGCAGGGAAATTTTGTATTTTGTGGTAGATTCTTAGAAGCTGTTTGTTGAAATTATTTCTCTTCCAAATATTTGTTTTGCTACATACAGTATTTTACGAATTTTTAAAGATTTAGTCAGCCACACATCCATAGCAAAATCCAAAAACAAAAACTATTTAGTACCTTTTTATGAAGACCAAACAAATTATCATGACACACCAGGCAAGCTTTGGGGTTTTCCAGAACTCATTATCATGCTTGAAGGTTCAAAAATAAGGAGGGACAAAAAAAGATCTAAGCCGCTATCTTAAGGCCCTTTTATCTGCATCTGAAGTAGAACAATTAGCAAATTTCAGTGGGGTAATACTGAGCAACAACCTTAAAGATGGCAACAGACGAGTAGCTTCATCTAGCTGATCTGTGGGGTTTTTTAGTTTTTAATTACATTTTAAACTGATTAAACCATTTTATCTGCCTTGGATTCCTGGATATTTGGATTAATTGGACTATCTGCAACTTTATACTTTGTACACCAGCTGGACCACCTTAGTTACAATGGTAAATCACACAACCACTTATATGTGTGTCAAGTGTGCCAAGAATCTCCTCCCAGAGAAGCACATTATAGAGATTAATTTCAAAGTTTAAATATGAGGAAGAGAAGGAATTTAGAGTCACACTCCTCACTCAAATCAACCAAACAGCTACATGTTGGTGACCTGCTAATGAAAAAACTAATAAGGGCAATCTCCACCTTCTCCTGTCCTTCAAAGTACAAGGTTTTGGAATTTGAAGAGTAGCCACTTATCCAATTATCACAGACTACCTCTCCCCAGCAGTTGCTGAACCTTTTAGGAAGAATGGGATAGTGGACACTCAACCCCCCCCCCTCAGTCCCACATTCCAAGAGTGGGGAGCATGGTCAGGATCCTTGAAGAGCCTTGCTGAAATTTAAAAGAGACCACTGTCTGCTGTGGATTCTGGGAAGTAGTAGCCATCCTTATAAAAATATAAAAGCCAATAGTTAATGTCTCTGACTAAGGCTAGTAAAATCAGATTTACAGTGCTGTTATAAGCAGGCCTAGTGAGTCTTACTCCCAGTAAAGTGTTCTTTGGATTGCAGTGTTAAGGTCAGAAATAGTATTTCCTATTTATGGGAGACTATGCGCAAGGCCCGTTGCGGGAAGAGAGGCAACGAGCCCTAGAGAGTGGCCACTGGAGAGTACCCCCACACACACACTGGCCTAGGAGAGCGCGGAAGCTCCCCGGTAGCCAGGCTCGCACCTCCCCCCACCGTGCGCTGCAGGCAGTGTGGCAAGCCAGCCGGCCTCATCCCTCCTCTGTCGGTGCGCTGGAGGAGGAGGCTGCCGAAGGCGGCAGGCCTCGCCTGTCCAAGTGTTCTAAATACTCAATTTTGTTTTGGAAATCAAAAACAAGATGTGACTGAGGAATTATGGGTAAGTGGGCTAGACTATTTGGAGATTTCCCTTTCCCTCAATCTAATTTTTTCTCTCCAGGTTGTCATGTGGTATTAGGGCTTGAGCTGTCCAGTTCCCTGCTCCCTTTTCCCCCTTCTTTTAAGAACAAGAACGGTTTAGCATTCTATGTTTCCTGCAATATGTTTAAAGTAAAGGTAAAGGTTTCCCTTGTTCGAAAGCTAGTCAAATCTGACTCTAGGGGGCGGTGCTCATCTCCGTTTCCAAGCCAAAGAGCCAGCGCTGTCCAAAGACATTTCCATGTCATGTGGCAGGCATGACTAAACGCCGAGGCGAATGGAACGCCTTTACCTTCTGACTGAAGTGGTACCTATTTATCTACTTGCAATTTCTTGCTTTTGAACTGCTAGGTTTGCAGGAGCTGGGGCCAGAGACAGGAGCTCACTCCGGCACTAGGGTCTCGAACTGCTGAACTACAGACCTTCCAGTTTGCAGCTCGGCATCTTAACCTCGAAAGCCAACAGCAATGTTCTTTCTGTGAACATGGATATTTCACTTCTCTATTATGGCTTATAGCTTTTAATTTACAAAGTGCTCCTTTCTCTTTAAATTTAATGATACCAGTTTTCTTTGAAAATGCAACTTTAGAGCAGTATATTCTCATTTTTTGAATGTTTCCACCTAACATATTCCGTTAAAGCTCTATTGTGACCAAGGAGCAAGACCCAGTGCCATTCATACACAATAGGAAGCCCATGGGCCAGTTGAGTGCCATCCTTAATCGTTTTTGGCTTTGTGGAAATACTCCACATACCAATGGTCTGCACCCTTCTCGGTTTCCTTGCAGAAACACAAAACCTCAAATCCATCAAAAACAGCCTGTGTGGAAGACCACCACTATATGTTCTCCCAGACTTCCTCCTTGGTCCTCTTTTCCGTAGCTTCTGAGAGTTGGTTCCTGTTGCAGCCAGCTACCCAGGTTGCCTGTTCTATTTGTCTCTTGAGTCAGCCTCTTCCTAAATTGCTGGGGAAAGTTTTGTCTGGTGCAGCTGCCAAACTTGGTAAAATTAATAGTCTGGAAACAGCAAAACATTGGGTTGCAAACACCCCACTAATGTTGGGATAACAGAGAGACGTGCAGAGGTAGGGAGATTAAGTAACTAAGGTGGGGCTGTGAACTGTTTTGAGAGCCTTGTACATTATGCTAAAAACGCTAACATAATAAGGTGAGCACAGTGTTATGAGTTCTGAAAGAAAGGGGGGGAATGGTGACTGACGGCTGTCAAAAGATCTGTGCATGGGGAAGCAGAAGAAGACAGGGCCACTAAGAGTGTTTAGTACCTGTACTCCAAAGGAGTTCTCTAACAGTATCTTAAGCATAGAGCACTTCTGTACTGGCTATGCTACCGATGCACAAAAAGCATAAACTGAGTTGGCAGTGTGGACAATAAGAGGAATGAAGTACTTTGCTGCTGTTTCATAGCTGCTGTTTCATAGCATCAATGCATCCTGAGATATGAGGATGCAAACCTGTGGTGGTGCAGAAAGAATGTGGACAAGAATGGAGCATGTAGAAAGAGAAAAGGATGCTTACTGAGAGACTTGGAGATGGTGAAAAGAAAAAGCACAGGCAGAAAACCCATCCATCCAAAGCCTTTTATTGGCATATACATGGATACAGTAATCTAAATACAAAGGCAGAAAACCTGCAGTGTGTGAGACAGTTTTGACAACGTTCTGACTGGAAGGAATGCAAAATATTTTCTTGCATTAATGTAGTGGCCCAGCTTTTTTAAGTTAGCAAAAGGTACCTCCAGAAGTTGTTTCCAAATCAAGATAAAAGTGCTGGTTCTCACCTTTAAAGCCCTAAATGGTCTGGGACCTTCATACCTAGGGGACCACTTCTCCCTATACATCCCAAGAACACTTTGTTCTTCCTTACAGTCTACTGGTGGTGCCCAGCCCACAGGTGGCTTCACTGTCCTCCACAAGGGCAAGTGCTTTTTCTCTAGTGGCCTCTGCCTGGTGGAACTCTGCCAGATGACATCAGGGCCCTGCAGGATCTTTCTAGATTATGTAGGGCCTGCAAGACAAAGTTGTTCCACCAGGCTTTCTGTTGGAATTGAGGCCAGTTTCCCACTATCTATCAGTAGTGCTGCTTGTTTGGTTGGTTTTTTTACAAAGTCTGGGTGCTAGTTGTTGCATGCCAAACGGTTATGTTTTTGTTCTGATGACTAAACTAGGGTGTTATTTTATAGCTTATAATGTAATTATTTTTGTAAGTATGTTTTTATCTTTACATATAGATTGTTTTATTGATGTTGTGAGCTGCCCTGAGCCATGTAACCCAGGGGAGGGGAGGGATATGAGTCTAAAAATAAACAAACAAACAATATTTACAGTTATGTAACCTTGGTTTATACAGATGGCAACTATTTGATCCATAATGGCCACTTCAGTAACAGAGCAATCCAATACAGACTTAAATATTTGATTTTGATTTATGTGTGCATTTCACAATACTCATGTTAGTTTCAACAAATGTACGGCTGAATATATGATTGAACTCCCCCATTTATCCAGGCACAGACAGGACCCCAGCGACATTTGTAAAATGCACATGTGATTCCTATTTCTTGAAAGCAGACACACACCTATATATGCAGAATATTAGTGGTATCATCATAACATGAACACGACTTTATCTAAGTCCATTGATCTTAATAGACAAACTGGAGTAATTACGTACACTGTACGTAGCAAGCGGCATATTTGGTCTCCCCCACCCCCAATCGCTCCCTTTACATTCTTCCATTAAGTAAAAGGCTGCCGTATACCTGCCCCCCCCCCCCAATCATTAAAATGCACACCAAATCATTTAAGGCCACTAATGCACTGAGCATAAAACCTGTCCTCTCTACCATTGGAATGACTGAAGTCTCGGCGATACACTTAATTATTTTCAGACTGAAAAGACACGTATGCTCAATATTGGTATTTCGTTAGAATAACAGTATAAAGCGGAGTCTCAACGTTTTCTCTGCCATTCTCTTAAAATCCTGAAATTCCCTTGTCATTCTCTTATTTTAAACACGCTGTAAACCACGCTGACATGTCAATATACTGTAAATAAATACATTTATTTATTTAGGATTCAGAGGGCCAAGTGACGAATACCAGCCGTTTTTCTACTTGCTACAGTATGATTTCCTAATTCAGAGCCACAAAAATACTTTCCCTTTGAAATGCACCGAAATTAGATTCCAAATAGAGACCTGAAGCGCGAGAGAAATAACCCTTTTCTTCTATCGAATTTCAATAGTTTCAAATCGCTTCCGTCTCTGCGGCGCTCTTTCGTGTGTTAATTTGCACAGAGGAGCGTCATGTGGGCCAATGAAGGTGGAGCGTAGAGCTGTAGCTGCGCAGTCGGCTCTTTGCCGGCGCAAAGTCAAAGCAACTTGCTTACCCAGTACTCCCTCGGAGAAAATGGCGGAGTATGTTCAGGTGGCGAAGAGGGCGTTACAACAGCTTAGGGGTCATGGTGGCCTTCGCGGGGCTTTGGTACAATTCTTCAGGTAAAGGGGCTTTCATTCGCGCTTGGGAGCATGGCTGCGTCCTGCAGCGGGGAGGGGGGGGGAGACATGGCTCTTCTGCACTGGGTATGTAAGATTAGCACCTCCAGCATCCATCAGTCGAGGGAAGGCTTTTAGCCTGACGATAGATACCCGTCCCCTTTGAAGAAGTAGGAGACAGAGAGGAATTTCAGAGTGATGCCGTTGCCGCTTCTGATTCGAGGCGTGAAGGCAAGTTTACAACTAATAGAAGACGGGGAGAAAGTTCTCTGCCACCTTTGGCTACACATTTGCTTGTTTGAAGTGAAAAAGCTGTTCTAAGGTTTGACTTTGTATGCACTGATGTTAGTACAAGGGTGTTTTTTGCAAAACGTTTGAGTAATTATGAATTATCGATAAACTATAGGCTGCTTTCTTTAGCATACATAGTGGAAAGTAATCACTGTGAGAATAACAGTGTTTAGGATTGGGTTGTCAGTGTGGAAAGTGTTTAATAGCCAAATGTTAAATCTGTGCATAACTAGTGATTTCTGTGACTCTTATGAGCGTCTGTTTTCAGTTAACACATCTAGGTTTTCTCATATATATATATATATATTAGCCTGCTACCCGTGCTTCACTACGGTATTTAAGTTCCGTAAATCCGGTTATAATACTGATGATGTGAAATCTGGAATGTGACATTTGTTGTAGGAATTCTAACAGAGAAGATTGTAGTGTAAGAAATGAAGCAAGACATATGTACTTTCCCCCCCTCTACTCTAGACCACATTGGTGGTTCTGCCCTCAGGTGCTGGGATCACCAGGCTGCTTGATGAGCTCACTCTGGAACAAGCCACATAGAACTGCCCATTTAAGAAGCAGTCGTCTGTTAAGTCAACTCCTGATATCTTCCACGAAAGTGATGACCTCTCTACTTGTGTTCCTGGATTGTTTACCTCATATGGAGTCTGTGTTGTTCTGAGCACCTCAGGGTGATCTTGCTGATACTTGGCCTGTGCAGCTCAGTGCTGTCTTTGCCACATTCCTAAATTGCCTCCTCCTTGTAGCGTTGGTATATCTGGCTTGACGTTTGCCAGGAGCTTTCTTGGGGGCAGTAAGAGGTGTGAGGGGGAGTTGGTGTGATGGAGTGGTGATGTGGTGGACATTTCTTCAGGTTCATGAGGGAGGCACGCATTGAAATGGCTCCTAGAAATGTCTTTTACTATATCCCCATAAACATTCCTATCCTGGCCCTGCTCCTACACCTGACAGACACCGGCCTGTCTGGTGTTGGGGGGGATTGTATTTAAAGGCATCGGGGAGGCTGGGCCAGCAGCAGTGCTAAGGCAGTCCTGCTGAGCAAATCTTCCCAGTGGCTGTAAGCATCCCACCTCCTCTCCTACACCTGACAGGCCTGTCCAGTGTGGGAGGGGGAGGAGTATTAGAAGCCACTGTGGAGGCAGGGCTGGCAGGATCACTAAGGCATTACTGCTGGGCAGGCTCCCTCGTGGCTACCCTGCAACCGCTGCTGCACCTGACAGACAACTGCCTGTTAGGTGTAGGAGATGGGGGGAGTGTATTGGAAGCCATCCCACCTCCTCTCCTACAACTGACAGGCAGCTGCCTGTCTAGTGTGGGAGGGGGAGGGGGAGGAGTATTAGAAGCCACTGTGGAGGTGGGGCTGTACCTGACAGACAATCGCCTGTTAGGTGTAGGAGGTGGGGGGAGTGTGTTGAAAGCCATCAGAGGGGCTGGGCCAGCAGCTTTGCTTCACCTCACAGGTGGTTCTTGGCCGCTCCTGATTCTCTCAACTGTCATTAGCTGTCTGCAGTCCCCTGTAACTGTTGGCTTTTTTTTTTTACCTCAGAACTTTGAGCTCTGCAGCTGACCAATCACAGAGTGGGGGGTGCAGAGAGTCAGCTGCCTGGCAGCCGCATAGGAATCAATGGGGGAGCACATTTTCCCCCTTTTGACCCACTTAAGGGTCGAATTTCTAAAAAATCCCTTCTTAGCACCTATGCCACTCTCCCCGAAATTGGTGTCTCTAGCTCCAGCGGTTTGGCCTGGGCGTTCATTTTACGGTGAAAGGACTTTCTTTTATATAGATTGGGGGTTTTTTAATTGCATGCTTGTTTATTGATTGATTGGCTATCACTCAAACCCCAGATGTTTGATCATCTTTTGAATTCGGGAACTGGATCTGAGACTTCTTTTTCTGTGGTATGTGGTCTGATAAGACAGTTGAAATTGTTTTTCTGTTGGGAATTTGCAGGGTCAATGATTTGAAGACTGGTACATTAGTAGGCACTGACAAATATGGAAACAAATATTATGAAGACAACAGGTACTTCTTTGGTGAGTGGTTAAACTATTCTAGCAAATAAATTACTTCATCTTTGTCAAAAGAAAAACATCTTTTTTATCATTTATGTTGAGATGAGCCCCCTGTTTAGGCTTCCAGAAAGAACGAAGGCTCTGAGAGTGATAAGAGGACCCTGTGGGGTGCTGTTGTACCAGGTACTTGGGGTTTTGCTCTTACACATAGTAGTTGACTGCCAATTTTTGGGGGTATAGGAATATGAAAAAAGAAGCTACTCGGTTTCAGAATTTTCAATTGGATAGTAGGAGTGATGCTTTCCATCTTTTTACTATAGCAGTTGTAGCCAATGAATTTATTTGAAAAGATATTCTAGTCAAGTAGATGCCGTTTTCCCAGTCACCTAAGATTTGGATTATTTACTGTGACCAAGTCCTAGCAGTAGGAAAGAGAGGATAAAGCGGTCATGGGATTGAGTGGGAGAATACTGTATTATTGGTCATAGCTGGGTTTTGTTTTGTTCTTTGATCGCACATTGTTGGAAATTTTAAATGAGAACTTAAATGCCTGGTCACATACAGCTAAAATTGCACAATGCATTATACATTTCTAGAGTCCTAGAGATGATTTTGAACTGTTAGCTGTTTGTAATGTACTTGACCGGTAAATACTGTTAGGGCTAATAATATACAATGATGTTGAAATCAGTCATATGCCAATAAAAATACGGATTATAATTCAAAGACAGTCTAAAGAAAAACATTACCTAGGTGCTTAAAATATGTATTTGGTGCTCTTAGAAATATTGAAATTGGGGCTCAGAACATTAAATAATGTTAGCAAAGGGAGGTTCATGCTTCATATGATACATTTAGTACATCTAACACAATTGATTTGCAATACAACAACTCTGACGACTATAGATGGACAATATTTACATGTGTAGGGTGGAAAGTTTCCTGTAACAACTTCCATTTGGGAAAATCTTCTGTTCCACATCACTTGCTCAGAAATAACATTTGTTAAAGCTGGTAACAATTTGAGAACAGGCAACATTGTTCTTTCATCCACATGTGCATTGCCTTTGCCTAGAAATATTATAGTAGACTATATATCGTTCATTTCACTGCCTCTGTTACCCTGCTTTTTTGTCCTATATCAGACTTTTGTCAAAAGCTGAAAACTTGGTGAAACCAGCATTTTGAAAGCTGAACAAATAATGCAAATAAATATATTCTGAGCCCTGAATGTTGACTTTATGAAAACCTTGGTAATATGGATTGCAGAATTCCATATTAGTAATTATTGAAAGTTGTGTTCGTTTATTAAAATGTATGTTGTACAGCTAAATACAGTATAAAGATTAATTGTATTTACCTCTATGTTTAAGGTCGTCACAGATGGGTTGTGTATACTGAGGAAATGAATGGCAAAAATACATTCTGGGAAGTGGACGGAAGCATGGTGCCACCTGAGTGGTAAATTAACTACTTGCATTTCTTTATTCGTATATTATGCATTTGTGAAACCATTAACTGGCTGGAGCATTAGCTCTAGATAAAAGCAAGAAAATGAAAACCTTTAAACATTTTCATAACACTCTAATCTTCTGCCAGTAACTCGCTATATGTCAGCCAATGAAGTTATGTCTGAGAGGTATCCCCTTTTTGGGGTGGGTTAAGGCCAGTGTCCAACTAAATATTATGGTAAATGCATATTTGCGGCTCAAAATGAAAGCTGTGTGTTTAGTTTGTCACCCAGTCTTCTCTTACTGTATTTTACTGTACCTCCTAGTTAGGGGGAACATATGATGATGTGTTACGTATCAGCAGGGTTATTTTTGGGCAGGAACGCACAAGAACGGAGTTCCGGCTGGCTTCAGAATTGGCCATGCCCACTACAGCCAAAACCTCTGCGTGCGTGGCTGCAGAGGGAAGACCTGGAGAGCAACCCCCCTGGCAACTCTAAGGCAGGCAGGCCAGGGGGGGCACAGGAAGGATCAAGGAGGCATTTAAATGCCTCCCCGACCTGTCCAAGGCTGGCTTGCCTGGGCTCCCTGCAGTCGCGAGGTGCCCAGGCAAGCCAAGGGAAGGCAGTTTAAACTGCCTTCCCTTCCCTCCAAGGGCCAGCGGGGCGCCCGGGCAAACCAAGGGAAGGCATGGGGTGTGGCCTAATATGCTAATGAGCTGCACCGTCAGGGTGTGTGGCCTATTATGCTAATAAGTTTCAGGGTGTGTGGCCTATTATGCTAATAAGTTTCTGCTGTTGGGTGTGGCCTATTAGGTAATGAGTCCCTGCTGGGCTTTTTCTACCAAAAAAGCCCTGCATATTAGTAATCAGTAATTAGGGGGTGGGTGCGATAGAGTCAGTTGGGTAACCCTGTTATTCTGAAGCAATAGAACAAAGTTTGAGTCCAGTGGCACCTTTAAGACCAACAAAGTTTTATTCTGGGTAAGACCAACAAAGATTAATTTTGTGTGCATTCACACCTCATCAGATGCATATGAAAGCTTATACCCAGAATTAAGCTTTGTTGGTCTTTAAGGTGCCACTGGACTCAGACTTTGTTCTATGGCAATGTGATGTTATGCTCAGGTTTTTTTCCTGTAATTGGAGGCTGCAGCAAGAGAAGAAAGAACTGATGGCAGCTCTTATTACTAACAAATGTGTTTTTTTTTTATTTAAAACATTTCTGTGCTGCTATTCTACCCAAATAGTCTCTCCAAGGCAGCAACATTTCAACATCAAAAACATTTAAAGTATGTATAAATCAATAAAATCATGAAAACAAGACGTAATGCCAAACACCAAAAACCAGGAAGAAGACCAGTAGCAGTTCTTGGGTTCAGGTGGGTATCTGTGTTGGTCTGAAGCAACAGAACAAAGTTTGAGTCCAGTAGCACCCTTTAAGACCAACAAAGTTTAATTCTGGATATAAGCTTTTGTGTACCTGCACACATCATCTGATACATTGAAACAATTTTCCTTAAGTGTTACATATAGATAGAGAGAGGGTGGGGGTTAGTTGCCATGAAGGGCTAGTCAGAGTCAAGATGTATAAGTAAGTGGATGATAAGTATAGCTGAGATTGGATTAAAGCAGTTGTTAAGAACTGTGAATGACAGCAAATTAGCATACAAATACAAGAGTTAACAAACAGATGTGAGAACTAACTGAGTCTGGTGGCAACTCCACAACAAAGTTCAGTTCTGGGTATAAGCGAGAACTGAGACTTAGCATGTATAGATGCACACTTCCTCAGATACAGTGAAATAGATTTCCTTAAGCATTACATATGGTGGGGGGTAGTTGCCAAAAAGGACTAATTAGAGTCAAGATGCATAAGTAGAGCTAAAGTTGGAATAATGCAGTTGGTAAGGTCTGTGAATAGCAGCAGATTAACATACAGATAATAAAAGCGTTAATAACAGATGTTTTAGCATGTATAGGGTGCGTTCAGACGGGGGCTTTACATCGGTTAGGGTGCCGGTTCCAACCGGTGTACTCACCGGCGTTCAGACGGGGAACATCTGCCTCCTGTCCCTAACCGGTGTAAAGCCCTTTACACCGTTGCACTCTGCCACTAGGTCCAAAGTGGTGGTATACTGAGTGCAACGGTTGCTTCCGATCTTCCCCGGCGTCTGATCGCTCTCCACCGGTGCCTAGCCATTTCCGTCGGAAGTCTGAGGCTTCCGGTTTTCCCCCGCCATTTTTTTTTTTTAGACAGAGCGATATGCGCTCGGGCGAAGCTTCGCCCTGAGCGTTTGTTTTAAAAAAACAAAAAAAACCTTACTTCACCTATCCGGCGGAGTCCGGGACTTCAGGGAGGCCAGGTTGGGCTTTAAACTTTAAAAGTAAGTCCTTTATCCTTTGGCGTAGGGTTTGACCTGTTTGCCCTATATAGAGAACTGAAGGGCATTGTTGACATTTAATGGCATATACAATGTTAGAAGATGAGCAAGTGAATAAGTCTGAGATGTTGTAGTTGATGTTGTTAGGTCCAGTGATTGTGTTGTCTGGGTGTTTGTAGCAGCAAAGTTAGCATCTGGGTTTATTGCAAGCTCTCGTACCAGTGTCTATGTTCAAATTAGACAGGATTGCATTTTGAAGTGTATGGCTGACTACACTTTTGTAGACTTCACAATGCTTGTGTATGACATAGCCTGAACTTGTGCTTTGACTTTGCACACTATGTAGCAGTCTTCTATTTTGACACACAATAATTTCTCCAGTTACTGAATAATCTAGCTAATGGGTTGGATCCAGCACTGTGTTTCAGCGGGTGCAAGGACTTCCAGTAGTGGAGTGTGAATTTGCAATTCCCCCTTTCTGCAGCAGCACAAAATGGAAGTTACTCAGTTTTGTTCCCATTCACTTTACAGATGTATCATTATACTGTGTAATCTGTTAGGCCCAGCCGCCTCGCGTGCGGCAGGGGTGGGTCTAAATGTTAATGGGTTTGCGGCCTGTGTATACAGAGAAAGTGTGATCCAAATGGGGACCCAACTCAAAGAGACAACGTGACAAGGTGTCTATAAATCAGTTGTTCTCTTTACTGAATAATACTTGGTTTCACATATATACACAACAGAATCATACATTCAAACACACACAAGGTTCCTTTAGCAATAAAGAAAAGAATACAAAATAGTTTCCTTAGTTACTTGGGAGTCTGGAGTAGGTATTTTGCTCCATACTTGCCTGATCAGAAGCTCTTGGAACTGTAGCAGCAGAAGATTGGAGACTAAGGAAAGGGATCCCTAAGATTGTACTTGCTCTTTCCACATTGCTTAGAACAAGCCAGCTAATGTGGGCATGAAATGTCTCTGGCTGTACATCCCAGAGAAATTCCTGCACAAAGAGTCTTTTACCTAAAGGGAAGGTAGGGGGGAAGGTTGGCTAGCCAGCAGCCCAGAATAAAAATGTGCTCTTCGTTATATTCCAGGTGGGAGGGGCTTTGCCTGCTTGGATCCCACCTCTTCTCTAAGACCAACCCCTGATTACTCTGGGTTGGCTGAGTGTGTAAAGGAGCAGGTATTCCCTATGGGAGGGACAATGTTGAAATTCTATATTCTATCTTATTGTCACCATCTGGCTAGGTGTTGCTTCTCAGCTTTCTGCATCCCCTTTGTTGTGCTGATGAAGCTGGCCTTTCCCAGGTACACAGGAGCTGTAAACAGGATGCTTTGGCATAGGAATGCAGATTCAGGCTTCTGCAGAATGTGACACTCAGTCTCTCAGTAATGGTGGTTTTTAATCCCTAGTTGTTGTTTTCTGAACACAAAGGAAAACCATGTGCCTTCTTGTACCCACAAAACCATGCAACTGGAGTAGGTGTTTGCTTCATTAACATCAGGCAGCAAGTCCTTTTTCCATGTGAAGCCTCTCTCTCTTTGCAAACCGGCCTCTTTTGGCTTTTGGCAGTCTCCCCACCTCTCAGCTGTTTTCCCCTAGGAGTGAGTAGTGTAGTGGTCAAGCTTGTAGATGACACAAAATTATTCAGGGTGATGAAAACCAAGACTGTCTGTGAAGAGCTCCACAAACTGGGTACGTGGGTGACAGGGTAGCAAATGAAGCTGAATGTTTGGAAGTGTAAGGTGATGCACACTGGGACAAAAAAAATCCCAACTTCAATTATAGGCTAATGGGGTCTGAACTCGCTGAGACAGAGAGGGGAAAAGGTCTTGGGGGCATAGCAGATAACTCAGTGAAAGTGTCAACCCATTGTGCTGCAGTGGTGAAAAAGGCAAACCCAGTGTTAGGGATTATTGGGAAAGGGACTGAGAATAAAACAGCCAATATTGTAGTGCTCCTGTATTGATCTATGGTGTGGCCTCATTTGGAATACTGTGTACAGTTCTGGTCGCCATATCTCAAAAAGGATATAACAGAGCTGGAAAAAGTGCAGGGGAGGGCAACCAGGGTGATTTGCGGGTTGGAGCACCTTCCCTATGAGGAAGGGCTGAAGAATCCGGGACTTTTCAGTTTAGAAAAGAGATGAGGAAAAGGGAACATGATAGAGGTTTATAAAATTATTCAAGGGATGGAGAGAGTTAACAAATAATTTTTTCTCCCTCTGCCAGAGTACTTGAACTTGAGGGCATCCAATGAAGCCGATGGGCAGTAGGTTCAGGACAGACAGAAGGAAATACTACTTTACACAGAGAGCAATTAAAATGTGGAATTCATTGCCAGAGGATGTAGTGATGGCAGGAATAAACAATTTTAAAAGCAGATTAGATAGATTCATGGAGGATGTCTATTAATGGCTACTAGTCTATCAATAAGTCTATCAATGGACACATTCAGAGACACTAAACCTCTGAATCCCAGAGCCAGGAGGCATTATCCTGGTAAGGCCTTGTCTTCTATGCCCTGTTGTTGGCCGTCCAGAGGAGTTGATTGGCCACTGTGTGAGACAGGATGCTGGACTAGATGGCCTATTGGTTCGATTCACCTGGGCTCTTCTTATGTAACCCCATTTTTTCAGGGTCAAAGGGACTGCTGGCGGGGTGGTGGTGCAGGAACAATCTGCTGGTAGATTACAGGATCCAATCCATGGCTTGCTTTGTCTTACTCTTGTAATCATTTGCAGTGTAAAGTGCACACTGGCACATATTATCACAAAGCAACAAAATTATATCATGAGAAAAGGGATAGAAGATGCATTTGTAAAATAAATATGAGAAAACTGACTGACTGAAAACAAGTAGCTGAACCTTCCAGTATTGTATAGTAGAGTTGTCACTTTCTTAAACTGCATACTGCTAGAAATGCAGTCTGCAGGGTCTTCTGCCGAATCCTAAAATGTGGAATCCTAAAAAGAAAGGTTGCCAGGTGCCACATGTAGAGAAAAACAAAGAAACTTGATTTTTAGCAAGAGCTTAATTTGCACAATGATTTTTAAATCTACATACGGAAGGGATCTGAGTGTAGCTGGAAATACAAGATATACTGGTAATTGGTGCAGACAGTTTGGCATAGGGGTGCTACTGAAGAATAAAAGTCTAAGGAGCTGCTGGTATAGACAACTAATCATACAGTTCCTTGAATTGTGGTTATACATTTAAATCTACAAATTGCTTTCTGTGGAATAGTCTCCCTGAAGTAACTAGGACTGCTATGAAATAACTTGTAAATGACATTTGACTTTTAAAAAATTGATGGAAAACACATTGCGTGAGTAATAGTGAACTGTCAAGATGGTGAGAGAGCAAGTGCTGACTTCTAGCAATATTGTCTTGCAGAAGGTGGTTGTATATCTATTGAGAGTGTATACAGGACTCTTATAAAGCAGTAGAAATTATTTGTAAATAATGTGAAATGGGCACAAGTTGTCTTCCCATGACCCTAGAAACATCTGAGGTTTTTTTGTTGTTGTATTATTAAATGCCACTATATTCTTTTTGGCACATGAGAATTAGAAAACTGTTGGAAAAGGGTTTTTTTGCAAGTAATAAAATATGTACTACCCTATTGCAAGCTGGGAGTGTGCTTCCAATAAACAAGTGTTAATTCTTTCAAACCTGATAGCACCAATATCCAGTTTGGGAAGGCGTGGGGGAGGAGACAGAGCATTTCATTTCCCCAGTTAATCCAAATCAACTGATTGTTACCACCAGTGGCCTGTCTCATTCTTGGGGGGGAAATTAGTTATGAGACAGAGGAGGCCAGATGGGTACAGGAACCACACACGTGTATATACCAAGGTCTACTTCATTAGGAAGACTCCAGATTTGAAGAGTAAATGATATAGTTTTATTAAAGAATTTCCCCGATTACAATCACAGTAAAGCAATCAAGAACTAGGAAATAGGAGCAATTATGGGGTTATATCACCTGTCTAGATGTGCAGAGGTCTGTGAAGAGGACAGCCCAAACGGCCAGCATTCCATGCTATGGAGGAGGAAGCCCAAAGAAGGGACTTCGGGGGTGTACTCAAAGTAGGCGCCCTCAGAGTGCACACTGAGGCAGGGCATGCTCTCTATTTTTATAGGAATTCTGTGGTGGTCTCCCAGGCAAAGATTTGATGGGATTAATGCCCACTGATGATCCTACCAGAGCTGGCTGAATGTGTTTGATGACCACTGATGGTCCAATCAGGGTAGGTTGAATAGGTTCCCAGGCTTAGTCAAAAGGGGGAAATGAGTCTCTGATTGACGTCAGGAAGGATCATTGATGAAATTAACGTTTGATTAGTTTATCTTGGTATCCTGAAGGAGGAGGCAGGAAGGACAGCTGTGGAGACAAAGGATTTCCACATAGGCATAGGTGTCACACAGAAAGGACTACGTGAAGGTTTTGGAAGCAGAGGAGCTGTTTGCCAGATGGCTACTGAATAGCTATGGAAATGCAGATACTTTACTTGGTGGAACTTGTGATTGTTTCATATACATACCTTTGCTGGATGGAAGTGGGGGGGGGGGTTGGAGATTGCTTTGAGGGCTGCCTTGTGCAACCTTAGATTTAAACCCTTTTTGCAGAGCTTTGGCTAGCTCTGTGGCTCAGGTAAAGAATGTCCTCTTTGGCCTGATTGTGGGTCTCTGATTCAGGTCAAAAGTGGGGTGCCCCGCTGTTGGGGCTACCAGTGAGTAAGGTAGTGCCTCTGGGCTACATGATAGCCTTGTCAGGGTAGACAATAGTGACTACTACTGATCCAGCATTGCAAACATTGCCCAGGGATTCAGCCTGAAGAGTCTTTTCTGTATTGCCCTTTGGTACACACAGTGCAGAAGAGGGATACTCCCATCTTCATTGGATAGGAGAGTATTCTTGTAGTACCAGCTTTTTGTGTGGCACCCATTTGCTTTTAACAGAGTATTATTTTAAGATGCATAATATATCTCTTCTTTTGAATACTTGGGACTGACGGGAAGGCTCTGGAAAGCCAACTTTTAAACTGTTCAGAATTTGACTATTTTTAATTTGTATGATATAACGTTTGTCCATTTAATGTGGTTAGCTTTTGAACCTGTGTGTATGTGGAATTAATACTGCTTGACTGTGTGGTTTAAAAGAACAGGAAAATATTTGTATTAGCAGTAATGTATGTTTCTTTTTTAAGGCATCGCTGGCTTCACTGCATGACAGACGACCCCCCAACCACACAACCACCAGTGGCTCGAAAATTCATTTGGGATAACCATAAATTCAATTTAAGTGGCACCCCTGGACAGTATGTGCCATATTCTACCACCCGTAAGAAGATACAGGAGTGGATTCCACCTTCTGCACCTAGCAAATGAATGGAAAAGAACTTGCTGATTTGCCAGATGTTAGATGTATAGTGTGAACTGTATCTTACTTGTATTTAAATAAAAGCCTGTAACCAGAATTTTGTTGAGAACAGACGTATTTATAAATAAATGACCAACGGATGGCAGGTGATCATCATCAGGTAGTAAAGACTTCTGAAATATCTTTTTGTAGAAGTTTCTCAACAGCTTGTATTTCCAAACAGATTTTCCACAATAACAATACAGGCTTGTTTCAAGAAAGCAGTTACTCATGCTTCTGATCGTTCCTTTTTAACATGATCTTTTTTTTATTAATAACTTTATTGAGTTGTTACGCACATTACAAAGTGTTTTGTCTAATACATATAAAGCAATTTGAGCATTACATTAAAAACGGCGTACTTATATTAGTCGTTACGGACTAAGATACACACAACTTACTAAAAGTTACAAAAGGAATACATATTAGTTGATACAGAATAAGATGCATACAACATATTACTAATATTGTATATCAATACAAGTACATATAATACTGAAACTCCCTTTATGGTAGTATATATTTAATTTTAACTCTTTGTGAAATGCTGAGTTTTTTATTATATGTTTAGCATGTTTTAGTGATTGTTCCTGAAAGTTATATACTTCTCTTTATAACGACACGGAGATATCTATAATTGTTTCGCAGTCTTCTATGACTGTTATATTTCAGAGGTATAACCAACTATGATATGTTTGTTTTAGTAGAAGTAGGTCCTGTATTGTCATGTATTCTAGTACCGGTGCCCATATGCATATAAATTTAGAGTAGGTTGGTGCAGAAGGATTGTGTGTTCTATGAATGGAATCTGTTATTTTGGCCATTATAAATTGGTCCTATATCTTTTCTTGCCATGCTGTTATTGTAGGTGGTGAGGTAGATTTCCAAGCTGACGCTATCATTAGTCTTGCCGTTGCAAGTAGTATCACTATTAGTTCCTTGGTAGCACCTGTCAACGACCCATCCCATAGATTTAACAATGCTACCTCTGGTGTGCAAGGGATTGTTTGATTTGTAATTGAGTTGATTTGTGTTATTACTTTTTCCCAAAATTGAAGAATCACTGGGCATTTCCACCAGCAGTGTAAATACGTGCCTATTTGGCCACACTTTTTCCAACATAGTGGTCGGTTGGTTGGCTTTATTTTTTGTAGTTGGTATGGGGTGAGATACCATCTTGAGAATGTATGAATGTTTTGTACTACAACAAACATCCAGTAGAGTTGATCATCACTGCAGTTCAACAGTTAATCTATAAGAGGGAAAACATGAAATGGTCAGCTTTTCTTGGGTATTCAGTGACACTAGTAAGATCTCAGCACATGCTAATATGAAACCAATAAGATCTCAGCACATGCTAAATGTCATGCCATCAGCAGGAGTGGTAGATTTGCATTAAAATTAATCAGTGTAGTATCTAGATTAACTCTTGCTGCTTAATCTTTGTCACAGGAGCCCGACGACGACCCTTCACTGTCCTCGTTGCTCGAGCTCCCAACTCCGCCAAGCAAGGCCACGTTGCCTCGTCCCCTTCCGTTCCCTCCAGGAGTATGCAGGCCTCAGACACCTGGATGGGGGAGGGCGGTTACATCACCGTTCCCTACACTCCCGTCCCTGCTGGATGACGGTCTCTCTCTGAGCTGCCGTTCATCCAGGAGTCATCCCCGGCCTCCTCCGTTTCATCCCTTATATCTCCCCCACCCGGTTCCCAGGGTGCCCTGCTCCTCCCGGTGCCCTCCTTCTCCTCGGGCCACGCCCCCTTACAAGACCGGAGACGTGCATCCCGGGGCATGGTCCCTTCCTCTCCTGCCTTCTCCCACCCTGGCCGCTGTGCTCGGCTCCGGGGGTGGGCCCTCGTGCAGCCTTCTCGCCCTCGCCACGACG